GGGGGGGGGGCGGGGGGGTGGAGACAGAGATGAGGATGGAAGGAGAGGAAGGTTGTCAGGAAGAAGAAATGAGAAGACATCTGCTTGTGTTTAAAAAAGAAATGGTGTTTTGATTTTTATCACAAACTGGCTCATAATAGCAGCTCAGACACCTGAATCCTTTCCTCGCAGGCTTAGCAACAAAATCAGGAGGTGGAAAAAGAGCTAACAACAAGGAAAGGGTGTTGTTGAAAGCAATCGTTTCATTTGCAGGTCTCACAGACAGGGTTGGGCCTCCCCTCAAAAACACATTTGGTGCCTCAACCTTCGTGGCCTAATTATAAGGTGATTTTGCTTATATTTCTTCGTTGCTAAGGTGGTACCAGAATTAGGCATTCTGTTTCACACTCTAACGTGTTCTTGCTGAAAGACCATTTTCTAGGTCCAGTTTCTTTTTCATTATGTACATTTAATTGTGTATATATACAATCTATGTATATACACATATATGCATATGTTACTTTACAGGTGTGTTGCATTTATGACGTGCAGAGAGTGCTTGATTAACTGTCCTTCTTATGTGTTCTCAATGCCTTTGCATGCTTGAAAGTAATTGCATGTTTCAGGAACTATGCTTCTGGTTTGTACTGTTATTCATGGCTTCTTTGGATTAATGTGAGATTTATTCTCGTTATTGTCCCTTAGTTTCGTTGTGGCCAATTAAGATAGATGCATATCATTTGCTCTATATTGTAGAGCTAGGTGCCAATTGATTGCTTGACTATTTTTAATTGGGTTTATGGGCCTGTATTGAGGACTTTGAATTTACAATGATGGGAAAGGGAGGTTGCTTGCAGTGTTAATGACATACAGCATCTTCTGAAATAAATGTAGAAACAGATTGGTTTTCTTGAAATTCCACCCCAGCCTTTTCATGTTGGTACCATGTTTCCCAGCTCAGCACAGCTGAGCTGGAAGGTGAGATATGTTCCTTTTATTTAATTGTGCTGATATTTGCTGCTCATTCCTTCAGTATCCACCACCATTTTATAGTTTTTTTCTGTTCCTGCTTCTGTAAGTGATTAAGTAGGATGCTTTTAAAAATGTAGGTGTTCTCAGGGATGCTAGGCTAGCCATTTCTGAATTAGCCTGCTCATACAATGAAATGAAAAGGAGTGAGCAAAGCTTAGCAGGAGATTATGCGACTGTAGCTGAAATGGGGGCAATTGTAGTTTATAAATGCTTACTGGTGTTTGCTTGACCTTTTATTATGCTAAGGCTTTAAGGCAGCTCAGGAGACTAAAGATGCATGAGACTGGAGCACACAGGGCTCCATTACCAACTTAGAAAATGGATTTCATTGAACTAAAGCCAGAAAAATCCTTTCAGGTAAAAGTGTATTAGCAATATTGCATGTAACACAGACATGAATTGTATCTATCAAGCTTCTCCAATATCACTGCTATTGCAAATATATTTTGCAGTGTAAAATGAAAGCTTTTTTTTACCTTAATCTTGTATTGTTTTTCATACTTCTCTCTCTTTTATCATTTTATATTATTGAATTTATAGTTTTATTTCTCTTAGAATAATTATACTATTTGGTTTATAGATTGGAACAATACTCCTTAGTGACTTAATCTAATATCATTATGGCATACATGATGCAGATTTACAACTCTAAAGTCTTGCAGCCATGTGTCTAATTATAACAGCTGTATAAAGTAGGGCAGGGAATCAAGTACTGGGCTCGTGTGTCATTTCAAAAAATGTATAATATGCTTTCTCTTGAATCTTTAACCATAGCTTTTGACTTTCAAAAACAAAATTTCAGATATAGCTACAATAAATTTTAAAAAGTTAAGATATAGGGTAGTTGATCCTGTTTCATAAATTAAAATCATATACCTTGGCACTTTGTTTTTATTTCCTTCCCACTGAATGTGTATATTGTTTTTAGGCAGAGCTGGTACATTTTGAACAGAAGTATATCTCCATAGGTCATAGCTTAGAAAACTTATTTTGGTAGCCAGTTTCAGACTTTGGACAAGACTGCATCTCTGAAGAAAGGTAAAGAAACTGGGATGGTTTATTCTGGAGAAGAAGAAACTGAGAGTTAGCAATCTTTAATTTCAGATAAGATTCTGGTTTATGTAGGATATTCCTTATTGCTAATTTTTGGAACCTGAAATATGGTCAATGGACTTCAACTTCATGGAAAGAATTAAGATTAGAAGCTCTTCACAGTAGGTGTGAATAGTCATGGGCACAGCAAGATGAGGCATGCACTCTCCTGTCATCCAAACCTCTCAGTGTATGACCCAGATAGGCATCTGTTTGAGATGGACTGTACGATGGGATGTTCTTCCTGACAACACAGCTAGCTTGTCCCACAGTAACTTATCATTTGATGAGTGTGGCTAGGTTGTTTAGCATCAGATACTTTACACTTGTGTTTGTAGAGTCCATTTTGTAATGGATTTCTAATGACCAAATCTGGACACTTTTAAAGAAAATGATTAATCGTCTATCTGGAGAAATTTCTATGTAATCTTGTCAGGATGCAGAAATTAGCCTGTTTCTGAGTCTTTATCAGCAACTTTATGGAGTGTGATGTTGAATAACTATTAAAGTTGCTCCATCTTTTATGGATGATTTTGAAAACTATAGTGTTTCTATTGGAGTCCAGATACAAAATCATTCAAGAACTATTAAGGTGATTAAGAAAAAAGTATATGAAGAAGATATGTATTGTTTCAATGTGCTGTTTAAATAGATTATGAAGGAAAAGTTAATTTCCCTTTTCCCAAACAATGGCTTGAAATGACACTCTTTTTGGAATATTAAAATTAAATATTTTTACCAGTTTTACATTTTTATCTAAGCCTTTATTAAATGTATTATAATTAAACCCACATTTAATTTACTGCTTTGTGATAGAATATTTCCTATTACTTCCAGTGACCTCAGAACATATTGTAATTTTATATGCTGTGATTCTTCTTTGGGTTGGCTGGAGGTTGATATTTGGAGAGTAAAAACCAAATCTGGAGTTCTCATTGATCTGTGAAAAAGGGTAATGACTTTTTCTTCTCAAGGTAGGAACTTAAGAGATAATCAAATTATCTTGGAAGTTTCAACATAACTCAATAATTATCATTAAAGTAAATAAACTAGGCTTATATTTGATCATTTATCAGAGGTATCAGTTAGAATTACCCCAATTTACACATCTCTTTCATTCCATTAATTAAAATGTGTTCTCAAACAGAATGACTAAATTTACTAAAAACTATTTGTAGAGATCTTATATGATTAAAAGAATTTGCATATACTAGCAACAAAAGCTTTCCTTGGAGGATATAAGTTACACACATGTGAATTAGTTAATGAAGAAACAACATAGCTGTAATTAGTACTACCAATTCACTTAATATCAATGCAATCTTTCATACTTTTCAAAGTCACTAATGTTTTATTCTCAACATTCTATCATGTCATTAAAGGTTTTTTTTTTTTTTTTTTTTTAAAAAAAAAAGATATTGGTAAGTGGAAAAAGATTCAGGGAGGCCAGAATTGTCCAAATTTGTGCTTGGTAAACCATCTAACAGAGGTTGCATCCCAAGTCTTATGAGTACAAATCTGCCATGTTTAAAAATGTAATAAATTAACTTGAAGACTTGACTTATAAATATAAAATGTCCTAAATCTGCATTTGTAGTTAATTTTATTTGGAATTTCATTTGAATACATCTAATTTGATTTTTGACAATTTGAGTTGACAAATGGTTTAAGTGTGTTTAAGAGATCTTCTAAAAGAAACAAAAACAATGACACAAAAATGTATTAAAGAAAATCCAAATCCAAGGTTCTTGATATTTCACAAAAGCATCATAGCATTCACCCAGGTGAAAAACAAGAACTTCAGTGGTTGGAAATGCAAAATGTTGTCTTAATTTCTAATGACACAGATTTTGGGAAGTAACATTGTTTTCCTTGCACTTAGAACCAAGTTAAGATTCCCATGGGTCCTGGACTGTGAAAAAAGTTATATCATCTTTTAGCATCTCTCCAACTACATGTTCTTAAGACAAAATAAATTATATTCTAAGTGTTCCTAAATTTGATAACTGATATTTTCTTGGATAAATACTTTTCTATATTTTAAAAATAGCAAATGTCAAATATTTTTTCTTAAAATATTCTAGTGTGTGTGTGTGTGTGTGTGTGTGTATGCATTTTTTTTTTTACATGAGACAGGGTCTTGCTATGTAGTTTTCGATGGAGGGAAAAGATAATATGTAAAAGGAAAATGAAAATAGCCCATAAGTTTACCATTAAGAAATCATTTCCATTAACATTTGAGACTATTTCCCTTTCCATTTTTTCCAAACACACATAGAAACACACTCAGACATAATTTCACAAATGGTCTATACTCTAAGCATTGTTTTATATTTCTTTTATTTTATAGGTGGTAGGCATCTTTTTATGTTAGTTTGCCTCTAATAAATCATTTATCTCTTTTCTTGATAATTTCAAGTTTTTTTCTACTTAGGAGTCCTTACACTTTGGTTTCAAATACTTATTATATATGGTAGATCCTGCTTTGTTTACAGCAGCTATGAGCCAGGCATTATTCTAAGAAATATGAGCACCATTATCCTACCTGCCACTGGATCTTATAAAGAGTGTTAAATTAACCTTGGTCCTCTCTATTTGCTGATAATGAATGGGTGTTAAACCCAATTCAGGGAAATAAATCCCTGCTTGAATCACTAGGAGATGCAGGACCTATGGGCATCAACAGAAATTGCAAAGAAAATCAAGAA